TTTTTTTTTTTTTTTTTTTTTTTTTTTTTTTTTTTTTTTTTTTTTTTTTTTTTTTTCATGAAAATACAATTAAAATATTTATATTCATGGCGATGAAACTCGGGGCATGTATGGCGAGAGCAATTGATAATCCTCCCCAGTCGCTTGTAGGGCACGAGGTACACGGTCACTCGTCAGGTGTACTTCGACGTAATGATCGGCGACAACCCGGCCGGTCGGATAGTTCTGGGCCTCTTCGGCAACGACGCCCCGAAAACGGTGAACAATTTCTTCACGATAGCCACCACGGGCATCGGGGGTAAGAGCTACGCCGGCTCCAAGTTCCACCGCGTGATAAAAAAATTCATGATTCAAGGTACACGTTATAGCTACGTCATTTATCCAAACGGAGTTGGTATTATATATGCGATGGCGCGCGTGATGATACGTATCGCCCCTCTTTCAGGTGGTGACATCGTAAACGGCAACGGGACGGGCTCGACGAGCATATACGGCCAGTACTTTGACGACGAGAACTTCAAGATCAACCACGTCGGGCCCGGCTTCCTCAGCATGGCCAACGCCGGCAAGAACACCAACGGCTGTCAATTCTTCATCACGACTATCGCTACTCCGTGGCTCGACGGGCAACACACCGTCTTCGGCATGGTGAGTGCCTCACACGTATAATGATAATTTAAAAAAAAGCCTTACTTTCCAACCGGTCCGCATCGCCTATCTTACTTTGGGCCGAAATATACGAAAATCGGTCTTACGTGCTCTCGAAAGAGACATTTCCGCACGCGAGAGTGAGACCTTAGAAAAGTAGGCCATAGATCGAAGCGCTATCGCGCCTCTGTGCATTAGATAACGCACACGCGCATCCTCGCCTTTCTGTTTAACACGGACGCGTGTGTAAAGTGGACAGGAGGTGGTGGGTGTGTATGTATTGTACCGACATAATTTTCTTTGTGCCCGTATCAGGTGGTGGACGGTCTGGACGTGGTATTCAAGATCGAGCGGTCAAAGACGGACGTGGACGACATCCCGGTCCAGCCGATCTACATAATCGAGAGCGGCGAGGTCCCAACTACGGCGCCCTTCACCGTGTCCGACGATCCCTACGAGTACAATTGATCATTATCTCTCTCTCGACCCAATTTTCCATCCCTCCAACTTGCGTTATGTCTCTCCCGTATACCTTTTCTTGCTTGTGTTGTTTGATCGCCTCGTCGTGCGCACCCACCGGCTGAGTCATTGTTGTGTAGCCGCATTGAGTCGATCGTCCCATTTTTTGTTCATATACCATATAGAGGTCATTGTTTTAAAAAAAAGAAAATCTCATCAAAAATGTCCTCGCTTCGATCGAGTAAGCTATTTCCTGCGTTGCTGTATAGTTCTCGTTTTAATTTTTTTTTTTTTTTTTTTTTTTTTGTTCCATCATTAATTTTAATTAATTTCTTTTTAGTATTTACGATGGAAAGACTGATGCTGTTTTCTGACAACTTAATCTATGCGTACATGTGTATTTTTGTAAACTGTAGTTCAGCTAAGATTGTATAGTTACATACGTAGCTATACGGTTGTATGTATACTTGCTTCGTTCCTGTGGTGTATTGAGTAGTGCGAGTCATACGATTCAAAACCTTGTATTGCAATGGAGTTTTGAAAATATCAGCTGTTGTAACTAAGGAAAAAAAAAAACTCATGTGTTATTTTCACAGTATATGGGCATGGGCAAAGGCAACTGCGATCCCTTTGGGTTTTAGCTTCTCGGTTCTTGGATTTTTCCATTGGATGCTGAAGCAATTGGACGTCTGAGTGGCATAATCTCGTGGTATATTTTTTTTTTTTTTTTTTTAAGGCATTGTAAGACGTAAGTTTTATTTTTACTGTGTACCAAATACAATTTACACTATGATGTATAATAATGATACGTTTGAATACTGAGCATGTATATTATGGATATACGTTGGAACGAATAAATTTCTTACAAAACTATAAAATTGTTTTTTTATTACATCAATACAAATATATGCTAATCATTCGCGTAAGTAAAAAAATCTTTTTTCTGATAAAACAGTAATTCAGGGATTCTTTAGTTTTTGTCGGATAGGATAGATGTCACTCTCGCCAAAATATCGAGTGTTGCTAAGATTGCAATCATGTATATCAATTTAAAAAAATAATCGATGGCATTTGATGATAAACTTAAGGGCGAATAAAAAAACTTGACGTTTACTTTTAAAATATGATTTCAAAAATTCATAAAACATTGATGAAAAAGAAAACAGTCACGAGCAAGTAGGAGAGTTATTCTGATTCACCGCTTATCAGTAGTGAGAAGCAAAAAATATTACATTATAGTTCCCACTTGTAACTTGTAACCGGTTTTCGGTAGATGCCCGTGGTATAATATTTTACGAGCTGTTTCGTCTTGCAAACAACACAACCAATCTATTGTATTGTCTTTGTTGCAAATGCGCGTGGCTTTACGTACCTATGATATTCTCAAGAACACAAACTATCTCCCTTTTACGAATAGGCGTATTTGAACATAAAAAAACTTGATGTTTTTCTATTCTAATAAAATTGTAAATAAATATTTTAAAATAAAAAGTAAAGCGGAATATCGAGAAACATTTTACTATCTATATTAAAAAATTTTTTTTTTCATTTATTCAAGTAGCAGTATCCTATCCACCTCTATATAATTTTGCTAATATTAAAACTTTATGAAAAATTTTAAAAATGGGAAAAATATAATAGTTGGGCACATGCCTATAGAAGCACATATTAAAACTATATTATGAGCGACGGCACATGCCATAGTCATCATGACGAACGGCACTCCCAAGAGGAGGGAAGTAGGGGAGTCACACATAGTTGTAACGCATACATTCACTCATTGTTATTTTGTAATAGGTATACATAGATTGGGATGTGTACAAAGAATACCTACATGCAAGAGGAGCGGATGGAAACAGCGTCGTTGCACATTTTAATTTATTGCTAATTTACAATAACTCATTTATACAAATAAACAATTGAAGTCAATGATCCCAAGTTATATCAAGTTACCCAAGTACTGTTGGGTTGCTCAGTTTATTAAGTTATGTAGTTGAATAGCTTGGGATTAATGTCAATTATTTGTTCATATTAACAACCAAATGGATAATCGAGTGATTCGAGTAATAGTAAATTTTCTATTCAGTAACGAGAAAAATCATACAAACGATGTGTTTTAATTTTCTTAAAAAATTTGTTAATTTATTACAAAAGTCGCTCTGGATTGCGAAGCTAAACGTAAATTACAAGATCACGAGGTTAGATTTCTCGAGATACTCGCGAACATCCGGTGGTATTGCTTTGAATTTTTGAATTTTCCCGCCCGGCGAGTCTCTTTGGCACGTGCGAAGGAAAGAAAGAGACAAAAGAGCCATTCTTGTAGCAGCCGGCTTTTCACCGCGTTAGTTGCGCGCGTTCGCACATATCTCCGAACTTTCCGTTGTCTGCTTCAGTGCCATCAAGCACAGCGATCGGAAAGGATGCGATTGTGAAGTGATGCTTGCCGAGACCGTTTGTTTTGTATTGTATTCTATCGCTACACTTGTATATTGATAGATAGCCCACGCGTTTCACCTACACGTCGATAAATCATTGGGAAAACCCGAAGGATAATAAACTCCGAAACACCAGCAGGTAGCAGAGGTTAAACGTGACAGTTGATTTGTGAGAGATAATACGGGAGTGGAGAAAAATTGCAATACCTGTATACAGTGTCCGCGTATGATCATCCCGAGGAGCCCATGAGGGACAAAGGAAATGTTCCTGGCTCTTGCAGTATAGGATGCTGTGAGGCAACAACAACGGACTTCAAATCGTTGGACGGCTGCACTGGGAAAAGTTCAGGTGAGCCGGTTGTGTTGTGACCGCTGTCTTTTTGTTATCGTTTCGGGTAATGAGATTTCATCGGTTTATTCATATAGGAGGCAATTTTTTTTCGCAACATTTTCGGCTTTTCACACCCGCAGTTGAATGGTTAGGTTGCGTTGTGCTCCTGTTTTTGTTTATGTTTGCATTGAAACAGACAATACCTATATTTATATTGGTTGTGTTATCACTCATTCACTCTGTTATCAGTTGGCATGTATGTGACGCGTGCGCATATAAATAGAACACGTTGCACCCACATATATACGTTGTATACACACTGTTCTACTGCTCTATATTCGTAATCAGCTGATTAAACGGATCATACCGGCATCCAAAAGTGATACGCACTTTAGCCATCTTGCATCGCCTAAGCTGATTATTTACTGCCAATTATTTATTCATTATTCGGCTATTATGAAATGGGAGTGTTATGACGGACACGCTTACTTATAACTAATAATCGAGACGTTTGAAATACAATTCTCACCTTGCGCTTCCTTTTCAATCTTACCGGTGTTTGTACGACTGTTCGATGCACGTATTATTTATTTTTATATCGTGCCAAACAAAGATTAATTAATATAAGAAACTTAACCAGGTAGGTAATGTATTGATGTCACGTTTTATAAATAAAAAAGTCGTTTGTATATTTCGCGCGTATTAGTAATAATGTTAATGTCGAATGGTATATCTGTTAGTTTTGAAAAAAAAAACAACCAGGTTTGAGCGTGAAAGTGTCGGTGTTTCAGATATTTTTAAATTTACGACCAAACACCTGGCTGTGCGCCTTGTATTCTATTGATTTTCACGCTAATTTTCTTGTCGGTGCATCGCTGCAGTACACACGTGTACAGTTTTTTTAACCATGATTTTGCGCAAGTATACTTGAAACATTTTTCAACATTTCAAATGTGCTGTATAGAAAATTAGCTGATTCTTTGTTTCCTGTACTCTAAAAATAGCTTAAACATTTATATAGCTAACATAAGTACGTATGTTCATACACACATATACAATAGTTTCGCGATGACGGTAACTTTCCTCGAAGTTCTAATTCACAAGCGATAACAACACCGTCGCAAAACACTTGAAAAATTGAAGCGAGGATTCATGTATCATTCTATTGGCACGCGCCAAAATGTAAATAGTATTCTTGATGTGTACACATATTAGATAAAGTAGTTAAAATACGCGATGCGTAGCAAAGCTGCACATGTATCATGTATTCAACACCTACAACTACGCTCGCTTTTCAAGTTTAAAGTGCGTCGGCACGACGCTTTATATACGAGGTAATAAAGTGATACTAGCATTTAGCACTTGAAAGGATAAAAAAAAAAAAAAAAAAAAAAAATTATGCTTGCAAGTTCAATATGATTTACTCGTAACATAATTTAGGGGACACGAGTGGCCATGGACGCCAGGTTCAGTTTCACACGCTCTACACTGCGTACCATATGCTCGAATAGTTATTAATAGGTAGATAGATATCTACGAAACGTTGGCAATTGAATTAAGTACGTATACTCACTTGAAAAAATCGTGGTCTATGAGTATACTATGGTATGAGTAGCACGTGCTTCGAGTTGGTCCACCATCACTTTTGAATCCTATCAGCGCCGTTTTGTTTTAACGAGCGAGAGATTTTGGTATGTTTGTATGGGTGTACGTCTACGCGCGTTTAATTGTCATTAAGGAGACTGTAATTGAGTGAAATAGATTATTCGTCGATGACTAGTCGATTTGACTGAGTAAACGTAGTTTAGTGGAGAAAATTGTTTCATCACGACTGCGTCATGCATTTTTTTTCCAAAATGATTATCGCTTATCAACGTGTTTGAAAAAAAAGTTCTAATATTACGAAATTGTTTGAAATAATCAATTAGGCCAGCTACTGTTTGAGTCGACCAAATTATGTGTAAAATTTGACTGACTTCACACAGCAATTAACAGAAAAAAAAGACGAATGATTGGTAATTTTATACTTTAACATCTAGCTAAGACGGATCAAAAAGTGGTAGTACAGTTTTATCGACGCAGCCTGTACGCGTGGATGCCGAGAAAAAACTTTATCGCTCCGGTAATCGTCCGGAACGGCAGAAGCAGATATAAACAATTTCTAAATTTACCCTTAACGTCGGGGCCCGCTTTGAGGAGTGATCTGTTCTAAAAGGTCAATAGCTCCGCCGAGGGGTGTTGGAGATCGGTTGAAATTTTTCAGTTCTGGATAAAAAAAAGTAATGATCTGGTTGTGCGTGCGATTTGAGGGATAATATATTATATACTACGCGTGTTGAAAGTACTGAAGAAAAATTGAATGGTAAATGAACGTGGAAATAAAATATATTCCTCTCGCGTGAAGATAACGATTTCGATGAAGATTTTCATCCATCACTTCCATGCAATCGACCGCTCAATAACAAAAATCCTCGACTACATCATCACGCGATCGTGTGAAGTGTTACGAGAACCCTGAGGAGTAAGGGTGGAGCTGTCATGGACGTGGAACTAGACATGGCCTAAATATTATAGCGGTTAACCTTCACTATTTTATTTAATCTTTGAGGGTAGCTGCCTCACATCAAATGGAGAAGGGATACAAAGTTGGAAAGTATTTTTATACGCACATCCAATTTACGCGTGAGGTATACCGTAATGAATTCGATGCCGCCGAGGGGTGTGGTGCGTGTGAGCCTGTGGGAGCGCGATCGGCCGGGGCGAGTCTCCTGTTGCTTCGTCATATAAGGCTACGATTTATGATCAATGGTATACATATCTATATATATATTTAGTGAGATTAGATTTTCGGGCTTTTACGAGATAAGAGTGCGTAAGCGCCCGATGAAAGAAAATAAAGCTGATGTCGAGTGCAAACAGTTTCACGTGTCTTTCCATATCGGCGTATAGTGATTGACTCAGCTTGCCCTTGTTTTCGGAAACTCAATTTCTTCGGTATCTTATTATTTTTTTTTTTTTTTACTTTTTCCTACTTTACTACCATCACCTACATTTTATTGTCATTATCATCATCAGAACCATTAATGTCCTAAAAATACCTGTGGTATAGGTACGCTAAACTAGCTACTCGGATGGTGTGAAAAACGAAGTAACTTTGCACGCTGATAATTATATAATATGAGCTTAATCGTAAATAATTAATACAATGCGTTTTCAAAACCTCACGTACCAGCTATTTTTTGCGAGCCATTAATTTGAAAACTTGATTAATACGCATTATAATCGTTACTCTGTTTATCAAAATGAAGAATTTAAAGAACGCAAAATATTTTTTTCCGCCCTCGGGTGGTTTTGGGAGGCTGGTACTTCCTCGGGCGAAAAAGCAGTTTTCCGGAACTCGTTCGAAAAGTCTCCTTTACGAACCTCGTTACGTCCCTCGCCTTCGGCTCGGGCCGCAAACCTCTCGGTTCGCAAACAGAGACTTTTCAAACTCGTAGGAAAACTACTATTCTGTGTCAAGTTAAATTATTCGTGGTTGCAGGCCGTATAGTGTGCAGTGAAATATTAAATCCTAAAACAGTATGTGACGTGTAGTCTTTGAGTTAAAAAATTTCAAGTACTACTGGTCGTTTTCAAATTTGAAATAAATAATATACTTCTTCTACTTCTGTGATTGTCACCCTTGCATTAAATGGGGTCCTATAGGTTTTTAATTTACTTTGCGTAATTGGTGCACAATGTACTGTAAAAGAATATGTACACAATATAGACTTGATTGCAATAAAATTTTTGACAGTGCATCATCTTTTTGTTAGCAAAGCCCCCGCAGGGGTTTTAGATAATAACACCTAGTCGTGTTGCTTTTTAATAAGCCAAAGTGCTTTTTGTTCCTCGTCAATTCATACGTGGAAAAAAGAGAAAAGTTAATCACGTTAGCAGGTTCGAGGACACAAAAAAATTTATCAGCATGCCAATCTCTGTATTCGTCATATTCTCCTGTAAAAAAAAACTGACACCACTTATGTGGCTCTAATTACGTAACAATCACCCGGATTATATGTATGCGTGCATTGGCTTTCCCTCGCCTTCTTTTCCGTCTACTTAATTAAGAGCGATGCCTCGCGAGTTTCGAAATCCAACTCTGCACGAAAGGAGATGGCTCGCGTGTGGGTGCCAATGGGTGCATGTGGCCGAGGGGTGGATTAATACACCCGGTGACGCTAATTTTTCAAATGAAAGTGTAAGACGCGTATATATACAATATATATATATNATATATATATTTATAATAGCTCCGAATTTTTTTTAATAATCACGTGTTGTAAACCCAACACGTGACGTTGGGTATTTTAATAGCTTTTTAAATAATTGTGTTGAAGATAACACGTAAACATTTTGTTGTTGTAGCTTGAGGTTATTTTAATCATTTTAAGATATAAAATAAAAATTTTTGTTCTATTTTTAAAAACAAATGTAAAGTGTAACAACTCGAGAAATAACTTCCGGATAACAATAACGTATGTTGCTTTTGAGGAATAATCACTTTGGCTTGCCTTCCAATTGGGAGACTATTTCCACGTGGGCGGCGTTAAAATACTCATTACTACCTCGGGCGTTTTTAAGGGTCGGGTGTGCCCTCGGCAGGAAAACACAAGTGCCATCATTCATCCGAAGCTACCTTACGGAGGGTGCTTCGCAGGACCCACGGGCCGCAAAATAGCCCCGGAGGTGATGGCACTTTTATGACAAAAACTATCATTTCTAACTAGCAGTAAACCCAATTTTCATCCAAAAGAATGTGTTAGTGTAATTCAGATGCGTGAAATGCCGAAAATTTCTTTTATCCCTTTTATGCAATAGTTGTGCGAAGTAATAACAGGAATTTCAATCGTTCGATTATATCAGGCTATCGGTACATGTACTCAAAATTTGAGGATTGACAAAAAATTTAATGATAATCAAAAAAATTTGTAATGAAAGTCTTATCGTATTGTTCTAATAAATTGTTATTTTATTTTACAGGATAAGCAAACCAACAGTCCTAAAACATGACAAAATTTTGGGTTAACTTGGTACTAGTTAGAGTACTGTTTCCATCACTTCTGGTATTGGGTAAGTTTATCGATAAAAAAATTATAATTCAAAATAAAAGTAACTTTTTTTAAGTTGGATCGCACCTACGGTCATTTGATAAATACAATTGTGAACTCTATATTATTTTTTGTACTTGACGAACATAATCTACTGGAAAGATACGATGAGGTATAGGGGTATAGTTTGGCTAATTTTAGATCTGCGGCACGTTGCGGACGGAGAGCTAATCCGAGATGCCTCTCTACTTCGAGTGGAATCTCATAACCACTTAAATACTTGACATACGATTTTTTACTCCCATCAAACGCCGATGACAAGTTCAATGAGAAAAATTTGTTTGATTTTTTTATTAAAAGATCGGCGCTACATTTTAAAAGTTACTGGTATCGTAATTTTATAAAAATTTGTGAATAACTGTTTTTCTTTCATTTCCGTTACTATGAAGAGCTAAAATTCAATTATTGCATTAATATTTCTGTAACTGTTATTTTTAATATTATATTCCTCTCGACACGTACGCTCCTATTTAGATTATCTAAAAAAGTAAAAAACCTTAAAAATTTTTATTTGCCAGAAAGTATTTGTTAAAAAAGTAGTACTTAGTTTTCAGTAAATTTGAATCACAACTCGGTGCTAGAAAAGCCGAATGGTGTCAGATCACACAAATGAAGTGAAAGAAAAAAAAATGTGTCGGGGCAAGTTGAAACTCGATATTAAATGGACTCCGTTAAAGTATCCCCAGAGAAATGCCGGCTCGTGCGCCAACACTGAGCACACATATATACAGACACCTAATAGATTTGTTCGAGGCTGTAGCTTGGAGGTGCTCAAAGGCCTAAATGTTTATATACATTTCCATACAGAGCCATACTGTTTAAGAGGTCTCGGAGGTCCCCTCCGAGCTAAAGCCTCGAACAAATCCAATGCTGATGGTAAAATGGTGACGAGATGTCAAATTTTTCAATGGGTATAATATAAAAATGTAGATACGATTGTATTCGGATAAGATCAATTACTTTTTTTTCCAACAAAAATAATTATTTTCATTACCTCTCAGTGGACAAGTTAATATCCTTTGTATTTTCGAAAGTGAAAAAAAAAACCATGCCTAGGTATTCGAATAATGTAAAATTGTTTTCGTACACCCTATCCGTACAAATGAGAGCTCAGTGCACACATAGGAAGCAAAGCAATCGCGATCCCTATAGGCACCGGGCTTGGGTATCGCCCAATATATAATACAATATACGACGGTATATGTACACGTGCGTGCGATCCGTCCATTCGATCGGCCTTTCCGTTTCACAGCCTAAAAGCGTTGCCATCGTCGGAGATATACGAGAAGAAGGGCTCGCTCGACCTTTTGTACTTCTTTTCCAGTCAGTCAAGAAATAATGAGAGTTTGTGTGTGTGTGTGTGTACACGCGGGGCGAAAGTAGGCTACAGCCGCGTCCTATTGCTTCTTTGCGGGGGAAATTTATAACGCCCCAAGCCTGTCGCCAACGATATCGTTCGTTCCACTTCCTCTTACATATTAATTTCACCTAAAGCTCCTCGTGCATGTATACGTGTATATACATTTCCATTACATTGCGATACGCCGTATTATATAGACAGTTTCATAAAGCGCCGACAAAAGGTGGAGGCGTATTATCGTTACTGTTGTCACCCGCGTGGAAAGTGACGGGGAGAGCCGGTGAAAAATGACTTTTGAAATCTTCCAAACTTTTCCAAGTTGTTTGCAAATTATAAAGATTTATGGATGACTTTAAATTGACTTCTTCGTGCCAAGTAAAAAATAATTCATCAACGAGCGGGGCTTCCGACGACTCTGAGCCATTAACTCTGATTTTTTAAAATAAAAATTCGGAACTTCTGACTTAACTCAAACTCGATGGAAGTTTTTAAGAAATAAACCTTTAAAAAAACTAAAATCTCACATTTTGTCGTCAGTCCCCGACTTATAGAGGGGTGGCACTTGATATTCGACACCCAAGTAGAGATGTACCACGTCCGTACAATGATATTTCATGTTGAGCTTGGTGACTCGCCAATCGTCACTTAAATATATACGATTGATTGCACGTATAGGCGTAATATGGAGGCCCGTGGGACTGTCGCTGGTGTACCTGCTGCTGGCGCTCGTCGCCCCGTTCGTGCCCGTGCCCACGCACTACTCCACGAGCGGGCCAACGACCAAACCTGGCCAGCGCTTCCTGGTCGCTGGTATAAGCCTCAGCTGCCTGGTCATCCTGGCCCAGCTGACCTTCCAGATACTGATGTTTTCCCTACCATCCAAAGCTGAGCTTTTGATCAATTGTAAGCACCTGAAAAATCCAAACTATACATGATTGGTTAATCTTTTTTTTGGTATGGACCATTATGCTTGATCTCCCTTGCCAGGCCAATTTCTCGAAAAGCTATTGCGACACGTGGGCCTGGTCAAGCTAAAGGGCGCTACTCTCCAGGAATTCGCCATTTGGCTGGCTCCGGAAATCGTGATATTTCCATCGAGTATGGCCATTTACTGTATTTCGCGGCGATTGACCGGGACCTCACCAGCGAGCGAGGATGACGAGTCCTCCCTCCAGTCCCTGCAAAAGTTCGAAAAAAAGTCCAAGGATCGATCGTCGAAGGTTCGTGTACACCATTGCTTAGGCAACGAGGCTGTATATTAATTATTAACAAAAAACAAAAAAATTACGCTTACGTGGACAGCTGGTCAACGCCTTTGGTGGTCTTGGCACTTACATCGTCCTGGCGATGTTGTGCTTCACCGCATCCCTGAACCCCTCGGCCGAGGGTGGCTTCTACTTTCTCGTGTTCGTACTGTCGGCCACGTGGTGGGCCACCCACCGGGAATTGCACCGCGGCTTTGCCGTAGTCTGTCGACTGGTAATCATAATGCCGTACAATGAATACAACGTGTGTAAATTATAAGCGATTGACGTGTAAAATGGTCCGATGCAGGTGATGCTCGTGGTTGGGTTTCACGTCGTCGCGCTGCTCTCCTACCAGAACCAGTGGCCGCGGGAGTATGTGCCGACCAACGGGACCTGGGCCAGGTACTTTGCCTTCAATGCCACCTCCGAGACCAACTGCACGGATCCGAGGGACCGGCAGTACATAGAGGACAACGTTGTGCCCGTCTACTCGTACCAGCTGAGGCTATTTTTGCTGTACTTCGTCCTCGGCCTGCAGTCCAGCTTTCTCTTCGCGAAACCGGCAAGTGACGAGGTTTTTATTCTTTCACTACACCATACTTTATATGTATATAATTATTTAAATAATTTCATGCATACCTATTAACATTCTTGCAATGGTTATATACGATTAAATTCATCGTACCGCGGATATAACACTACTGTAATTTTAATAATAATCGTAGGTGGTTGTTGGCTCGTAAAAGTCTCATTTTCATTATTGGCTACGAGTGTACATGTTTCCGTTACCCATGGGCTTGTATGAACGTCAAGTGTGTAGCAAACTGCCGCTGAAATACGTTGCAAAGTTAAAACTTTACGAGAAAACAGCTAGTATTTTGGTTTGGTTTACTAATATGTATGAAATAAACGATACGCGGCTTTTTTGCTTTCAACTCCTGGGGGACATTTAACAACAACAAAAAATCACTTCTTGATCTTCTCATTTCATCATCGCTCCTGTGTTTTTTTGGGAATCACTCCAGACAGAGATGCTACTTTTTATTGATGATTACCCAAGACCCCTCAATGCGTATACTATATATCATAACGGAATGCTTACATTAATATTCACGAAAAAAAAGAAGAATTTAAAAGAGTTGCGCAATGCTTTATTTCCTGAAATTATACTAATAAAAACCAAAAGCGATGTAACTTATGTACCTGTATGTGTATGTGCTTTGATTAACGAGGGGTTGCAGACTAAGCAAAGAACTCGCCTGAGCGGCAGAATGGAAACCTTGGACACGCCGCTCTCGAGGCACGTGTCCATGCGTAAACGGACGCCGTCGCAGCGCTGGCAATCAGCGCGACGAAAGGCTCGAGTAAGGATCTCTTGTGCATGTACAGAGGCATCACATTAATTCACGAATTCGTATATATATATTGAAGGAACACGATGTTCTTTTATTTTATGTTGTCGCTCTGTTGTCTGTTGTCGCAAGGAATATTTCGTATATTTTCTTCCCCGGCTTGTTTATTATTTCGTTACCAATCAACGATTGCTACCGGGGCACGACTGTTCTCCAAAAAGGTCTTATGTTTTTGCCATTGCAAAAAAATGTTACAAAACTTTTTTACTTTTGGTAGGCAGATTCGTTTTCATATGGCTTTACAGATTCATTCGGGGGATAAATTATCGTAACTCAATGAAAAAAAATGCAGTTTTTTTTACCTTAAAACTGCCATTGCTTCGAGTATACGGATGAAAAGAGATCTTTGAGAAACACTGTTTTCTAGTGGTTTTTGCCATCAAGAAATAATTTTTATTAATTTCACTCTACAACGAAATGAGGTAAAAAAACCATGGTAGTAAAAAAATATTCAGGTATTCAAAAGCTGTGACAAATTTTTTAAATGTTTTACAAGTTACAGTTACGATTTTTGCTCTGATAAAAACTGTAACAGTCGTGCCTTACGCGTAAAAGTTTATTTTATTTTGCATGAATTCAACCACTTGCTGCTTTATTTACACGTTGTTTGCTTTTAACCACTACATGGACGGCACATTTATGCGTTTGGGCATCTTTACTCCATAAGGTATAATTTAATTGTAAGAGCCATTATTTCGTACATAGGGCGAGATTTCCAATGCATGCGCCTGTTTCGATGGTTGACGCATCGCCATCATTTTTATATAGTACTTATGTATTACACAAAGAGTAACTTGCACTACAAAAAATGTATATACTTTTATTTCACGTTTGAGTGAATTTCAGCCGGAGCTACTCCAGAGGGACGACAAATCTTTAATACTCCCGAATAACGTATTTCACTCGTGAATTGTGCTTTCATCTATCTATCTATGTATACTTACATTTAAAATATTTAGCTAACACGTGTATAAATAATTACACGCCCGTGGTATTATTTTGCCTTGTTTATTTACTGTGGATTAGTTTGGCGTATTTTAGAAGCCGGCTATCGTGCCTCAGTCGCCACAACCCAACGAGAGGACTCCTGTACGTATTACACATACATTTGCGGTATTGCTGCTTTTCACACACACACACCTTCTCTCGACGACACCGATGCAAACAATTAACACACTTTTATCACGTAGTTCAAGTATTTCCCTTGAAATTTAATTAAATATTTTGTGTCTTATTATTCCTTTTGGCTCTTTTTTTTTCTTTCTTTCTTTTTGTTTAAACAGCACAAGTGTTGCACACGTAGCTTTTATCGTTCAAGTATTCAGTACCCGTATATCTAGTGGTGGAGGTATCGATATACTTACAACACGCTCTTTTCACTTTTATTTAATTTTTTTCCTACTCGTAGCTGCTTATAAGTAAATAATTAATGTCAAGCGAAAATGGTCCCATGGGGTGTCAATAAAAATAAATCTAGGTGAATTTTTTTTGTTGCTCAGCTGCTGAGATTCGGATCAGGGCGCTCCGGAGGCCTACTGCAAGACTCGACTGGGAGTGTCATAGTACAGGATGGCCAGCAAGACGATGCCATCCAGATGCAGTCGCTCAGTGAAGGTCCGTGTGTGCAAATGGCTAATATGCATGTAGTTAATTAGTCACTGCTTGCGCATAGTGCGGGTATCTGCACACTCATAAGCATAAAAATGCCTTAAACAAACGATGCCTGCAGGTGCTCCAGAAGAACAGCCGGGGATCGTGGAAAACGTCATCATGGCACTCTTTTCTATTTACCAACTGATATCTCACTCATCCTATCTGGGCACCAACATTATCATGATGGCAAGTGCTAATTTGTTACGTAATTACCAGCGAAAATGCATCGATTAATGCGAGGATGTACTCTACAATGATGATTTAACATTCGCAGACTTGGAGTATCATGTACCACAGCTGGTCGACCTTCGTATTGCTACTGTGGGCATTGATTTTGTGGATGGTACCGAACAAGAGGTCGTCCATGATGAAGTGCTCAAAGTTCATTGTGCTCTACACGACGATTTTGATCCTCATTCAGTACGTGTACAGTTTGAACCTGACCGAAGAGGAGCTGCCTAACGTCATATTTGGCATCAATATGACGGAAGTCGGCTTCAACGAGCCTCCGTCGCAATCGAGCCATTGGCATCTCGTCACCAAAGTATGGAAGCTTCTTTTTTCCTTTGAAAATACGGCTTTTTGGTAGGCCAGCGTCAGTAAAGAGACAAACTTTCAGTGCTGCTTCCTAACGATGTTCTGGATCACGATGCGGCAGTACTCGTCCGAGATGTCGCGGCAACGCAGGTCCTCGACGTTGCGAGACATGGTGGCGCCGCTTCATGTGTCAGTGTCGACCGCCATGAACAACAATAGCCACAACCAAGCCGAGCCCGAGATCAAGAGCAAGTACGTCCAAGAAGTCGGGCGCTTGGTCAAAAAGTTCCTCGTTAAATTCTGGATAGCCGCGGTGGCTCTCATGCTTTTTATCAGTGGCTTTGTCGGCGAGCGCATGACCGTCTTCCGTATCATTTACATGACGCTGTTTCTGCTCTTCATTATCACTTTCCAGGTAATATCTTGAATCGATTGAATCAACTCCAATCATGCGATGGCGAGGATGTTTGTATTTTATAAATAAAATATTTTCCCCTTCTATTTTACAGATATCGTGGGTAGCATGGAAGAAGATGCTGTATGGGTTCTTGGTAACGGTCATTGGCTACTCGGTCATAATGCTCATTTTGGTATATACATACCAATTTCCCCAATTCCCGGAGTACTGGCATCAATACTTGAAAATTTCGGTCGATTTGTGAGTCACTGCTTGTTTTTTTTATTTTTTCAAATAATAAAAAAGGCTATCATCAAAGCAGACAATTACATTCATTCTACATGTTATTTCTAGGCAACGTGATATTGGTCTGATAACTTACGACACCAAGGATTTGTTTGTAAAATTAATCACGCCCACATCGTTTGTCATCATATCGGTAATACAAATTCACTATTTTCATGACGACTTTCTTGAGACAACGAATCTCAACAAAGTGTAAGTACAAAGTAAAAAGGCGTTTGGTATTTTATCGGCACACCAAGTGTTCGATCTATTGAATAATTTTTTTATAATTATTTAAAAATTGTAGGTCCGATGTTTCGAGGAAAGATAGTCTTGGTCACTCTCCAAACGCAATTCCAATCGTCTCATCCGATGAAGTTTTTATATCTCAAAATGACGATTTGTCTCGTGTATTTACTCTCAAAGAGCTAAAAGGTGGTGACAACGAGATAATTTTATTTTTATAATTTTTTTTTGGCTACAACGACAAAATTTCGTTTCAGAAATGTCCAAGGTAGAAATGACAGTACTTGGGAAAAAAATCAGTGGCCATTTTTGGAACTTTTACAATTATACTTGGCTGTTCATCGAGTTACATATTCAGAAGATTATTTTCATTGCTTTTGTAATATTTTGCATCAACGACGTAAGGCACAAAATTTACACAAAACATACTAACTATTGCGCTCTGCTTTGATTATTTTTCACACAGTGTAATTGTGATTTGTTTTTCAGATATGTGCCATCAACGTCTTTTTTATTGTAACTGTAACTATTACTATAAGCTTTAGAAGAAGGGCCCAAATAATGGTTATAAACACAATGGCCTCAGTTATCGCAATCTTGGTGGTCGTTAAAATGCTTTACCAAATTGATTATATTAAACACGAAAACTGGAATCGGGATTGTCCTGTAAGAGACCAGTTTGTAAAATAATAGTATTAACAATTACGAAAATTCACAAATTAAATTTTTAATTGTCGTAGAGTCATGATACTGGAGTAAATGCAAGCAACACAACGACTTACAACATGGCAGAATGGATAGGTCTGAAAAAGATTGACAAGGATAATACGCTATCGTATCTCCTCAAGGGCTCCATACTGCTTCTCGCCCTAACAACTTTCCGGGCCATGATCATGGTTCGGCAGCTGTTTTACCGCCAGCAGAAGGGAGAGCCCCTGGAAACTCCGATGTTCATGTTTCCAGAAATCAAACGTGCAGACGCAGACAAGGGACTCGTAACGTGCTTCAAATTTTTGTGCAACTACGGCTTTTATAAATTTGGATTGGAATTCTGCCTGATCGGTATGGTTGGGCTGATTGGTATCAGACTGGATTTCTACTCAGTTCTGTATAGTATTTGGCTCATGATATTATTCTGGATGAATCGGAAAACTACTATGAGGATATGGCCCTTTTTAAAACTATTTGCCCTCATACTGTTACCGTTGCAGTATATCATGATTGTTGCACCTCCGCCCTGGCTGTGTATAGGTATGTATATCTTTCAATTATTTTTTCACGCGAAGCTTATTTTCAAGCATAAAAGAGAAGCAAATTGAATCTTTTAATTTCCCAGATTATCCTTGGCAAAACCCAGATAAAGTTTGGTTGAGAAGCTTGCAGAAATTTATGTTCCTACCAGATCCAGATTTAGATAATCGTCCAAACCCAAAGAAGCTCATGTGTAAGAAACCATTAAGATTTATTTTTATAATTTCAAAAACGACAACGGATTGAGAAAAAAACAAATTGACCTCTAATTTCTGAAAATACTTCACAGGTGATTTCATTCTTTTGATGATGATAGTTCGCCAGAGCTTAGTATTCCGAATAGAAGAGCGTAGCGTATCAAATGGACAGGAATTCGTGGCTGGTCACAACTATTCGGTCTTTAAAGAAATGGAAAAGCCGAATTCGGTGAATCCGGTGAAAGACTACGTTTCTCACATACACAATTGGCTTGATGTATTGAAACGCGGCTGTTTTATGAGCCTGATGTGGATCACACTGGCCTTCATGTTTCTGGCTGGCACCAAGAGGACAAATTTATTCTCTCTGGGCTACCTGATTGGCGCCTTTGTGTTTCTCTGGCAAGGCAGTGACTTTTACCTACGACCTGTAAATACGATTTTAAAGTGGTGGAACATCCTTATAGGGTACAATATACTTGTCATCTTTGGCAAAGCTATATTCCAAGGCATCGGCTGCGTGTACCTGCAGAATGTAAGTATAGCGCGAAGAAATCAAGTCCTATTTGTCTGGGTACAGAAATCATTGAAAATTTGAAAAATGTTTTAGCTTGAGTCCTGCGATAATTCCTGTTGGTTGATCCAGCTGCTGGGCATATCGTGCCTGGACAAGTTTGTCAAGTTCGAGGACCAGATCAAATTCACGTGCGATTGCAAAGTGAATCGCGAAGACATCGGGATGCTCTGGGACGGGCTGTGCTTCGCTTTCTTGATCATGCAGAAGCGTCTCTTCCGTAGCTACTACTTCTTCTACATCGTGGACGAGACGAAGGCCATGAGTATATTGGCCTCGCGAGGCGCGGAGCTGCTGGAGGAGCTACACCAGAAGCGAATCATGGAGCAGGAGAACCTCGAGAGAACTATGCTCGAGAAGATCAAGTTCAAGATGGACAAGATCAAGGAGAACCAGCAAAAGTTGCACGGTCCCAGTCACCGGGAGCCCAAAACTCACAAGATCGGTAAGATTGAGAAACATTCGCATTTTACTCTCTTTCTTTCTTTCTTTCTTTCTATCAATCTTGAAAAAAAACATTTGGTTGTGCGAGGAATCACGAGTATCGTGAAAGCAAGTGTAAGGCCTTATGTATTTCACACTCGAAGCGAGTTGGAAAAAAGACAAACAACGATAATGTCACGCAATGTATAACGCTAAAACCCTTCAAAGAGGAGGGAGAAGGCGGCAGTCGTGAGGCGCCCCTGGCGCGCACCTCGAGCATGTCGTCGTGCATTTCGTCGAACCGGACACCACCCCAGGGCTACCAGACGCCCATAGACGAGGACGACGAGCCTGCACCGCTGACACCTCGGGCGGGCTCCCTGCTGCTGCAGGCGCCCTCGCCCAATTCGGCCATCATGACGGTAAGCCTAGAGGGTTACCTGGAACCCGGGCGCATATCGTTTGGCTCGCCACCCAGCAGCGAGCTCAACCCACGTGGGCCCTCGCCAGACGAGACTTTCCCCGTGTTCTCGCCCCTGCCCGGCGCTAGCAGGGAGCATCGGTCCCTGGGACACGAGGGCACTTTGGTTCGAAGACACAGGAGGCCCTCCAGCTGCGCCGGGAGCTCGTCATGGACGAACGCCCCGAGAACGCCCAGGAGGTCCATAGTTTCGACGGTCTCGCGCTCTCCCCGATCTCACCATACTTGTAAAATTTCATTTTTTTTTTTTTTTCTATTTTTTTTCTTTGTTGTTTCGTCGTCGTCGTCGTCTTCATCATTTTCGTCTCTGTAGCTGCGATCTGCGATAAAGTCTATGTTCTTCTTACATTGTATAATATGAGTAGTATGGGCTTTCTGTACATGTAAATAATTAGTTGGCTTTGGCAAGAGGAAGGAAATTGTTTTTTGTTACGGTGGAGGATTCGCCGAGTATGTGTTTTCATCGAGAATTGCACGCTGGCTCTGGAGGATGAAGGAATCTTTATTAATTTGTGTACCACAATAGGCCGAGAATGGCACTTTTTCTTTTCCCTACCTCGTACATAAAGGTTGGTGGAGCCTCCTCAAGACAACATTTTTCAAATCACACTGTCTCTATTATTTTTAATCATTTTGAAAATAAGTATGATTTTTTATTAGCGATTACCATTGACTGTATTAGTTTAAGAAAAAAAAAATCATCAAAACGATAACGAAAGCTTGAGCTTACGTAAAATATAGATATATGGCTGCACTTGAATCACAATCGTGTAAATAATGCACTTGAAAAGCTATACATTAAAGCTTTCGATGATAATTGTACCTAATGTATAAAAATTATCTTGTGTACATCTGCATACCTATATACTTAGTCGTGATCAAATTATTTATTTTCAGCCACAACGAAGATACTGATGATACTTTGATTTTTCGTTTCTTTTACTTTTCCTTTATTTTGTTTTTTTTTTCCACAGATAGCTTGTACAAACCACTCGAGCGGCCGATGTACATGCGTCGAGAACCAAAAACTCATGTAGAGGGTAAACACGGAAAATCATTTTTTACAGCCCTGCCGAACCTTATATCCCGTTCCCGCAAAACCACAAAATAACACCCACATATAATTAACAATTACGTTTTACCCTTTTCATACACCTATTGATTCATCATGTGAATAAATTGTAAATTTTGTACATTACCTATATGTTTGTCGTGTAACATGCTGTGGAAGTCCAAATTGTGTAATTTTCGTAGTGATCATCATCTCCTCATTCGTTGCATGCCACGATTCTGTTGCTTATACGTGTCTTTTTATTATTCAACTGTACAATACTTAGCTCGGACGATCGTACAATATTTCAAATAAAATTTGTTTATTACTTCTCAGCTGTGCGATCGGGAGACTACTACATGTTCGATGATATGGATGACGACGATTTGACTGATTTCTTCTCCGAGGACAAAAACATTCTGGAAGAAGAGGAAGAAGAAGAGAATCGACGTCGTAGGGCGGATAAACGTGGTCGTAGGATGACCATTTCGGAGGTATGATTTTTTGCATGGGTATACTTATAACTTCCCTCGATAGATTTCTAGAGTGTAAATTCTAGTTGAAAAGTTATTTAGCCACACTTTACTCCAAATACCTTAAAAACACTCCACTCGTACTATCCACTACAACTATTTTACCGTTACAAAAATTGACCATCTACCGACTATAAGGAAAAAGTTTTCTAAATCACTCAGCTACTACGAGTGACACAAAATTCATTACTATCCACTGGATAAAAAGTATCGGCCTCGTACGAAATAACAAGTCATCAGTATTGTTCCTAAAAAAACATCTACACAATTCTAACAATTTATTCAACAATACGATAAGATTAAAATAACAAGCATGCCATAATAATTGAGCAAAAAAGTATCATATCTTACAAATGCATATCTCACATGGGAAACAGATGTTTTTTTTTTTTTTATAACTAACTGGGTCATAAAAACTCAAATTCATCACTTGCCTACCATTAAGATAAATATAGTAGCTTTGGATATTGGCGCAGTAACTTCACCAGGACCCGATGGATCTGTTTGGAAACAGAGCCCAAGGGTACTCGGTAATTATTGAATGTATTCGTGAACTGCTCGAGTCAGTCCATGATAATAAATGTGAATATTTATCATCCAACTGTCGAACATACCAATATTACCCTGGATGCGCATCAGTTACTGTTATTTTTACAGTCTTTTCTAGTGCTTTAATTTGTCCATGAGTATTTATGAGTTTTTTTTTTTTTTTTTTTCTGTTTTGCATTCAGTAAAATTTATGTAGCGCCGAACTTGTGTTGAAAACTTGTCTTGTGAACTTGTTAAAGAAAAAGTAATAGTATATTCAACGCATAATCAATAATATAATGATTGAGTATATAACCACGAGTAATGGTTATAAAAAAAGTGGAGTTGCAAGAAAAAGGGAAAGCAAAGCGAAGAGATGACGACAAACAAACTGACGCGTTCTACTGAATTACAGCTGATGAACGCCTTGATAAAAACTGACATTGACATAGCGACTCACGTCGCGTTGTACGGAGGAACGGAAAAGGACGCTATGAAAATCCGGCGCCGCAGCGAGCCACTGTCCCGAAAGAAGTCATCCATGTCTTATCTGAGCGCACGTTCCGATACCGACACTGCCGCGGCTACCGATGTGAGAACCGATCTGCTCAGTTAATCAATGTCAAACAAACTCCTCTTCTCTCACTCTCTCTTTTTCTCCCTTTCTTTCAGTGTCCTGTTGTCGTTGTGTAGTTTTTCTTCTTTTTATTTCTGTAGCAACCATCTATTTTTTTTTTTTTTTTTTTTTTACTAGTTGTACAGTTTTATATGTGTAGTCATACCTAAATATTTTTTCGACACTTCCACTGTCCTGTCCAATTTTGTCTTACTTTTTTCTTGTCTCTCTGTTGTGAGTAACTGTTTTTAGGGATGTACGATGAGGTCGTGCTTCAGTGCTTTTAATACTATGACAAAACTAAAATATATTCACGTGACACACATATTTGGCGTTGTTTGGGAGCACAGGTGCAATAATCGTAAGCGTGTCAACAAGTATAAAGTTTTAAGGATTCTCAACTAAAAAATTAGCTTGATAACTAACTAAAAAAAAAAAAAGTGCTTAAAGTGTCTTTTAATTTACTTGCACAGCCGTCGATTTTTTTTTCCCACTGCCTTAGATCACCAGTATGCTTTATTTAACAATCGCTACCGAGGCAATGCTTTTTTTTTTTAATTTCTCATTCGGCACTAATCACTTTCAATCAAATCGGTTCGAAACACCGACGAAAACCTCCGCTTAGCACCAAAAAAACACTTGTTCCGCAGTATTTTTCATGTTTTTTAACAGATCAGGGTACTCTGGTATATCCCGTTGGCAAGGATCCTTTCGTCAGTAGAATAATCGATAAACAAGCTTAACTTAAAGCAAAGTAGCAAATTTTAATCTCGATGGAAAATTTTTGCACATACGAGGATTGAACTTGCCTCCACGAGCTTAAATATAATAAAAATAAGTAATCACAATAATAACTAATGATAATGACAGTAATAATAATAATAATAATAATAATAATAATAATAATAAATAAATAATAACATGCAAAATTGTATAAAAACAACTTTCAATGTGCACAGTAACTTGTCGTAGAATCTTGTAGAGCACGAGCAGTATCTTGATTAAGCTGTAAATTAAAAGTCTTGTCAATCGTTGTACGTGTGTAGTTACCTGAACAAGAGACGCGCACGACCGATTCTACGGGTGATGATGCGACGGACCAGGAGCTCGACGATTTTGATAGGATATCGGAGGAAAGCGGAAAAGATAAGAAAAAGGGCGATGAGGAGGGTGAAAAGGTGTCCTTTTTGACCTACTTTAAATTCTTGTGGGCCTTCCTCAATAGCAGCATGGTATCCATGACCAAACATCTGAACAGCTATTCGAATGATTACAGATACATAAGAAAGGTTTTGGCTAAAGAGAAGAAATTATTAAAGGTGAACATTTGAAGAAAAAAAACCGGGCAAAGTGAACAATTGAAAAAATTGTTTGATTGTTTTTCAAATACTTTACAGGAAAAACCAGATTTTCGGATGGGCACCCGCTTGGGTATCAATCAAATATGGCAACCAATCGTGAAGCCGGGGTACGTCAAATATATCATTTTGGAAACTATAATAAACAGCACTGCTTACAATAATACGGTCTACTGACTTGGGGTACCTTTTCAATTTAAACAAAACTTTGAGATATGCTTCCTTTTATCGAAACATGAAACAAAAGCCACAATCTTAGACTTTTAAATTTTATTTATATATGAATTTGGAGTGTTTTAACTGTTTGCCGTAGCTTTGGAACAAAAGAGTATTAGAATCTATAAACTACTATACATGGAGACTTTCCAGTTTTGAAACAAGGAAGCATCCCCAAAAATTCTTACAGAGAAAAAAAAGAAATGGAAAAATTTTTTTTTTATCCGATATTGGGGTCACAAAAAATTTTGTTGCGCATTTTTTAGGTGTCATGTTTTTTAGCACATAGTACTTAGCTGATATTTAGATTTCATTTTTTTTTGTTTTTTTTTTTCTTTCTTTTGTTACAATTGGTTAAAATTGCAATTAGATACGTATTTTTTTAGTTTCGACACCTTAGTTATCCATATTAATTTCATATCGATATTTCATACGTTGGATGAACTTAGATAAAACTCGTATCATAAACTGTAAATTATTACCATACTTAGTTAGTAGTGGCATAAACACTTGCTTCTGTAGATCATCGAGAGCAGAAAATCCTGATGAAATTGTTGAGGACGCGGGCCAAGGATCAAGCAGCAAGGAAAACCTCGACGACAAAAGGTAGGGTTTTACGTTGGCGAGTCTTGATTTTAGATATATACATATATAACGATTAAATTACGCGCAAAAATATGGTTCCGGAGTTTTTGAATAAAAATAATTCTGTTATCACTTATTTTCACAATTGAAAGACAGTTTGAGGCGCGTGATGATGATAAAATCATGTGAATAAATTTTTACTGGTAGAAAAAGTAGTATTATCTGCGTTAGGAGGACGGAGAGCTCACTGTCAGTGCCACACATCCGAATTTTAGCACCGAGTCTGGAGCGAGGATTGGACATATCCTCCTCTAGGTATAATTGATAAATACAGAACTGCATGCGGTTTAAGTCGATGTCGTCAATATTATATGTGACATTATTATTCTGAAAATTCATATACATTCATGGAAGAACATACTGTCAAACAAGCATGAGACTTTTCATGAAATCAACGCGTTCTTATGTACATAATATGTTAATGTATAATATCTGTACAGATTTACTAGACGAACAAACAGCTTTACGTGTGTGATTTTTTTTTCCTCGGCTTAATTATAACCCGTGAGTGATCACAAAAAAAAAAAAAAAAGTTTTCGAAAATCATCACAAATTTATCAGTTTTTCCAAATAAATGTATCAAATTGATGTTGCAACAGCTGTAAAAAGAAGCTCCTTTCTAACAATATGTACCATATCCGTAATGTGAAATATTAGACCAGTCCAAGGAGATGTAAGAGCCTTTGTTTTGAAACAAAAAGTGCGAAAGCCAACTGATGCGGAAGCTATTGGGTGTCTAAAAATATGACAAATAGTATTCAATTTTAAATTTTAATGCCCTTTCAGTTACCTGATTAAGCTACGAATAATACGTTTCCGTATTACGATTTAGAAAAAAACTATAAAAATATCTATAAAGTAAGCTCATTCGGTGAACAGTTGAATAAGTTAGTTGATTTACAAATCGTACATTACTTATAATACTTAGTTTATACTTAGACTTAAAACTATTTGTTTTCTAAATCATGATTGCAGTTATAAAAGATATATTATTGTTGTTTTTTGTTAAACTCTCCTTTGACTGGTCCACGTAAGTTACCCTTTTGCAACAAATGTTCATCTTCAAAAACACTTTACAAACCTAAATTTGATTCATCAATGATTATTTGCTGCAAAGGATCGAGATGTGCTAGCCACGTATCACCCCGCGTACGCCTGTCAATGAAATTACGCTACTTGGTATCTGATATTTCCACTTCCCTTTGTCAGCTCGCTAATCGCGCAAGGCGTTCACACCCAAGCCGAGGACGAGGAGGACAACGTGCTCTCCGAGGTGGACCAGCTGCCAGTCATCCAACTGGCAGCGTCCATCTGGTTCGGTGTTCTGTCTCACTCGACCTTCCTCTGCTATTTCATGGTATTCATGCACCAAATTCGGAACGCCTCGCTTTTGTCGACTCCCTTGCCTCTGATGGTCTTTCTCTGGGGCTCGCTAAGCATACCCAGGCCGTCCAAGACTTTTTGGATCACACTTATCGCCTACGTTGAGGTAATTTGGTGCTTTATGATAATTTTGTTGATAAAGACTTTACATATTAAAATATTCCAGGTGATAGTCATAATAAAATTGATCTGCCAACCTTCTTTTAATACATGGAACGACAATAAACACTTCAAATTTCTGGGGGTTGAGCGCCAAACAAATTACGCCTTGTGGGAATTGATGCTTCTTTTGGTAGTATTTTTCCACAGGTGAGACAAATATCCTTTGGAACGGTATCTACTTTAAAATTCTCGTGTTAATTTTATTGAAATAATTTTTTTTTTCTTCATATAAAGGTACATGTTGAAATCCTTGGGACAGTGGACCATGCCGTCGATCAGATCACGAAAAGTGATACCTTCGGGCCTGACGATCGCCACCGTCAGGCGGTCGCGTCCAGATGGTGATACCAACAACGGAATTGATGAAAACGGTGTGGCCAACAAACTAGAAATTACTCCAAAAGGTCGAATTTTGAGTCTGCACTTGGATGGCGAGGGAGACAGATTGACCGATCCGCTTCCCACTGGCGACAACGAGAGACTTGTCATTATTCAGGCGACGGAAACCGACGTTATTCAAGAGGATTTCCAAAAAGCAGTCAAATTAACGTCAGTTTTTATCATTTATTTATTTTTTAATTTTTATAGCATTTACGGCTAATCGATATTGGCAACTGTTCCTCAGGACACTTAAATATTGGGAGCCTATAAGAAAATTTTTCGAAGACATTCGTGACCCGAACGGCAAAGAAAAAACAAACGTTTACGTTTACATGTTCCTCTGCGACTTTTTCAACTTTCTTCTTCTCATTTTTGGTTTCTCGGCATTTGGCGTAAGTTTTCGAATGATTAAAATTTTTTACGAAATAATAAAAGTTACTTATGACAAGAAAAATGGTTGATATCCAGACGCGACAGGGTGACGGAGGTGTCGCAGCGTATTTCTTGGAGAATCGTATCCCAATACCGTTCTTGGTGATGCTGCTGCTGCAATTTGCGCTGATAGTCGTCGATAGGGCATTTTATTTGAAAAAGTCGGTAACCAACCGATTGATACTCCATTACCCGTTCGTCGTCGCTATTCACATTTGGATGTTCTTCGTACTGCCACTGTTAACCAGCCGACCTTTCAACGAGAACAAAGTCCTTCAAGTCTGGTACATGATCAAGTGTTTCTATCTGTTACTCGCAGCCTATCAATTGCGACTTGGTTACCCGACGCGTGTCTTGGGAAACATTTTGTGCAAAAAATTCACGTTTCTCCGTTACGTAATGTTCAAAGTGTAAATATCACAGTTTTGTTTCCTGCAAACCATCATTTATCGACACTTGTTCAAAACTATATAATTTTTCTGCAGATTTATGAGCGTTCCACTTCTGTTTGAAATGCGAGCCGTCATGGATTGGATTTGGACAGATACTTCAATGACTGCGATGGATTGGTTTAAAATGGAAGATATTTTTGCAAACATTTTTCAAATCAAGGTACGTGATGAAAAAAAAAAAAAATTAAAATACGACTCATGCGTTAGCATCCAGTAACGGTAATTAATAAACGTTTGTGCTCCATCAGTGCTCGCGCGTGATGGAAGACGAGTATCCACAAGAGCGTGGCCAGAAGAAAAAACAAATAAGCAAATATCTCGTCGGTGGTGGAGCTCTCATTTTAATGATCGGCATAATCTGGTTTCCTCTGATGATATTTGCCCTAGGCAACACAGTTGGCAGGTCAAATTTGCCGAAAGAGGTAACCCTGAACATGAGGATCAGCTCGTACGAACCAATCTACACTATCATGACCGAGAGCGGCTCTATCTTGAAGTACAGCGAAGAGAACTTTATCGAGTTGAAGAACTTGTACAGACCTAGCGGATTATTTGAGGATCCTACCGCTTTCACTTTTTTGATGGATTACGAGCATACGGACGTCGTCGCGGTTAAGCTCAGCTCTGCGTCCGGCAAACTGTGGAGCATCTCGCCACCGGACAGAAATCGGTTCGTTCTATAATACAATTGGTTAATTTAAGGTGTTGCTGCACGGACTCGTTAAGTACAATTTTCGGATGATGACTTTTTCAGGTTGAAAGAGGAACTACTCTCCAACAACAGTATGACGATATACGTTGAGTGGTCGGTGACAAGAGATCCAATCTCGAAGGAGGTATCGGGAACCACATCCCAAGTACGTAACATCGATCTACCTCCTTATCTGAGCGACGGGAGTATAAACCCTGTAAGACAAGGTCTGCTGGACGCGTTGAATGAGCTATCCGACAACAATCGGACGGTCGAAAGTAAGAGTGTGCTACTCGAAAATGCTCTGCCTATGTTCCTGAAGGTCACTAGCAGGGGGATTTCTGAAGTAATGCAGCTAATGAATCCATTCTTCCAATCTAAAAGTAAGGAAATGATCATGTAAAATTATTTTGAACCCCTTCCTGACATTTTAATCCCTTTTTATCCATCCCAATGAGGCTACTCAATGAGAATTTCCCTCCAATTTGTATTATTGCAGCTAAGACGAGTGACGATAAAAAAGAGGCTGAAGAGGCGAAGGAGAACCTATATCGAAATGTGAGACTAGTCATTACGAACAATACGCTAAACCAACAGTGGTTTTCCGTCCACGAGACGTGCAACGATTCCTCGTTCAACGCTTCCGAGATAAAGATTCCACTAAACGACTGCTCTTACATTATGATGTTTATGTTTAATGACAAAAGTTTTCCAGAAGGTCTCAGTTTTCTTAGTGGCATGGGGTAAGTTTTTCGAAGCTTTTTATCTCTTGTGCCCAAATATCGCTGCTGCTTATCACTATAATTATTTTTATAACTATTAAATACGTTGATTACACATTTTCCTGAAATATCAATTTTATTTGATTTTTAGGATCATTGGAGTGTACACGACATTTGTGATTTTTATCAGTAGTCTCATCAAAAGAATGGTGAGCGATATAGCTCCGAAAATAATGTTTGAAGATTTGCCTTACGTAGATCGAATATTGAGACTTTGCCTCGATATTTACCTCGTTCGAGAAAGTGGAGATCTGTGCTTGGAGGAAGATCTATTTGCGAAACTTGTTTTCCTTTATAGATCGCCCGAGACGTTGATTAGGTAAAAATCGACTATTGAAAAATTAATTTCAAGTTAAAGAATATTATTACCAAATCTTGATTATTTCTTGACAGATGGACAAGGCCTCCGGAATCAAGTGAGCAAAGAGGTGAGAACGAAGACGATGAAAATTACAATGAAATTGACAATTATGGTAACGATGTAGATAACGGCGATGATGAAAACGAGGAAGAGGAAAGGTTACAACTCAGAAGAAGACGCCGCGATTAGGTTTTTAATAAAGTGAAAAAACTGTAACGTGAAGCATTTTTTTATTTTTCTGTACTCATGAACATTGTACTAGTGAGAATTGTTTGATCTGGTTTTTTAAATACTTATTTATTTATGACTGTTGAAGATTTTAATCAAATGAGAATTTATAAAAGAAAAGTTAAGTTACTGTGTGTCAAAGATGTAAAAATGTCAATTTAACAGATGGTTAGCTCAACAAAAAGCTTGTTCATTTCATTTACAAGAACATAAGTGAAAAGTAAATGAATAATAGATATTAAACTGTTAGTATGAGAATAGATTTTTTCTACTGAAATTTTATACACTAGAGAGATTAATTTTTATAGGCTTTGAGCACAAAACTATCTCTCTAAGGCTAATAAGTCTTTTCTATTTTTTTACAAACAATGTCAGTATATGTTACATCCATAAAACTATTCATTACAAGCATACTGTTTTTTTTTGTCATTCAGATTAGTACATTAATTCTAAAAATTCAACGAAAATTTATCATACATACTGTAAATAGGCAATTCATAAACTGATTCTGTAATGAATAAAAAATAAATATTCTTTATGTGTAAAATAACGTACTTTACTTTATTAAGGACACTTCAAGTATCAACTAGTTGAAACAGTAACTGCATTTTCATAGAAATTTGAAAAACCTTATACTAAGATACAAAGTATAATGAAAAAAGTAACAACTTAAATAATGAAAATATTCTTTACTTGGAATTGTAGCACAGGAGACTTGATGAAAATTACTGCTCCAAATCTTTTAATTTTAATTTCAGTGACAAATTCTCGTCCTTTAGTAGTATTATTTCGTTAACTTTTGTCTGTAAAATTTCGTTTCGAGCCCGCAGAATGAAAATTTCCTCTCGCATTCTCTCATTTTCCTCAATTAAAGCACTAATGCTTCCAGAATTCTTATTGATACTCAATTCACTAACTATTTCACTTGTTTGGGACATCAAAAGTTTAATTAAATTTGATTGAGAATTGACGTACAAATTTTGCGTTGCTCTCAAGATCTTGACAGCTTCCTGTTCAGTGTAATGGCTGACTAAATCTTTAATAGCACTTAGCAGCTGTACAGGATCTGATTTTTCTAAAATATCAGACTTTTTTCTTACGTCAGATGTACACCGAACAGTAGTGTTTTTTAAATCAAGCTGAGAGCAACTATCTCTTGATGATGACGTATTGGATGCCTGTCTGGTGTTTTCTTTTGTTGATGCATCAAAATTTTTACTAATATTACCAGCTGAGCTTTTAGATGTACGCTTTTTACCTTTCAAAGAGTTGCAGTCTTGCACTTTGTTTGGCAAATTTATACTGTTAGACTTTCTTGTGGTTTCGTCTATTTTGATTCGATTTTCCACTGGTTTGGTGTTTTCATCCACTTGATTTTTTCTCTCCGATTTTGGAGTAGAACTCAATGGCTTGGTTTCTGGACTTGACAACTTATACGGCTCCAGACATCCACTGTAGCGTTTGGCTTTTGTCAAACTTGCGGACGACGATGAGATTATTCTGTCATGTTTGGATTCCAAGATTTCACTCTTTGAACAATTATTCACTGGGGTAGATGCACCCTTTCTTGTAGTAATGTATTTACCGCTTAGCTGTGAGCTTCTCCGGGAGTTTTTATCCTTAGGAACTAAATCCAAATCTGCTAGGAATGAATCATTCATAATGCTTGTTTTGATGCACAAGTACAGCTGCTGGAAGTATGAAATGTAAGCAAATATATTATCCATATATAAAAACTCACGTGATTAAATCAACAAGTGAGCCATACAAACCTGAAGTAAAAACTAGATGTCATCCATTAATGAACAAATCATGCATCGGCAAGTAAAAATCTAGTATATCTAAAACTTTATATGCAGGTTTAAATAAATTTTTCCGTTGCACTTAACCGCACTGAGGGCTGATAGTCGGATTTAATACATGCGATGCGCTTTATTAACTTACACCTTAACCCCTTCGAGTATTATCAATATTATTAACAAGCCCAACTTTACAGAATTCTTAACCTAAATGTTTAATATAAGTAAAACGTCTTTATTTTGAATTTCACGATAACGGTATTTGACTTTAATCTTTTAAAGTTGACTGCGCGGGTGATAATAGCAGCAGTGTCAGCAGTGATAGCAGTATAGGCAACTGTCACTTTTCAAAGCACAAAATATATAAAAATCCGTTTTTTGGAAATCGATTCATATCGATCGAAGTCGTGACACTCGTAACTCGCAAGTCGACAGTTGTGAGTCTCGACCTCTCGACTCCTCGACTGTAAGGCCATCTCTCCAAGTATTATCACTATATTATCTCATCTATAATCAAAATCAAAATTTTTAAGATTTTTAAGAACTAATAAAAGCGTGTTAAAAAAGATTGAGAATACGATTGAGAAACGAATCATATTCTCAATTGTAAGGTCATTTCTATAGGTTAATCATGTACTATCTTATCGATACAATCTACCATATTCTTCTTCTCTCAATAAATTAAATTTGTTTATTATTGTAGATAAGACAATACATGATCTACAGTAGATAATATATAATCGTGATTGAGAAACGATCTATGGAAATGATTGGAATACGAAAATTTTTTATTCAGAATTAAAAGTTTAGGTACGAAAAATCTCGGCGATTCCAAAGTTTTCATTATCAAACGAGTGTTTTAGATTGTCTTGATGCATACCTATAGGTATCTTGTACTCAAAACGGTAAAATCTCAATTCGATATTATCGTCCGTGGTGTAGGTAAGTGATGTTTGTTGACGTTGAGTCATCAGCTGATCTGGAATCGTATTAAGTGGAACGGTGAATTGCGAGAAGAGCTGCATGTGAGAGTAAGGAATGAAGAGATAACCGTATCGGACAAAGACGAAAAGTACTCTTCTGATAGTTACTTATTTTTTCAACAGTTCAAGCGAAATTCTCCGCAGTTGAGCTTAAGCTGGCTTAAGCCTCGGGCCTCGGGTATTAACTGTATTATTCCGGAATGTCGGCCGTCAAGAGCAGCAACATGCCGCTTTGCATGTTATTGCTGCTGTGCCTGTTGTGCAATGCTGCTAATGGCTTCATCAACCTGTACCCCAAACTCAAGACCTACCCTCTGCCTGAGGGTGCGGACGTTGGGAATCCGTTGTTTCTTACACCCATCATCGAGAGCGGCGATATCAACAAAGCGAGAGAGCTGGCCAGCGTACAGCACAAGGCGATGAAAGACGTCAGCAGCTATGCCGGCTACTTTACCGTCAACAAAGAGTACAATTCCAATCTCTTCTTTTGGTTCTTTCCTGCACAGGTAATTGTTACAATCGAAACGTTTCCACGATACTTTTTATTTTCATTTTTCTTTGCATGTTTACAATTTTTTATCAATAATCCCCCCAGTCACATTGAATGAAAATATTTTCCACGACGGTTATTGTCAATCATATTTTTCCTTTTCCCCCCCCCCCCCACATTATCATGCCAACACGTTTCCACGACTTTAAACGTTGGGACTCTCATGACTTGAGTACTTATTGTTTCAAGTATATCATCCCCGACCCGCACCCGTTGAAGTGGCCCCATGAGTAACTTTAGCCTGCTACTTATTTACACAGAAAAATCCAAAAACCGCACCAGTAGTAGCGTGGTTCCAGGGTGGCCCAGGAGCTAGCTCGTTGTTTGGTCTGTTTGTCGAAAACGGGCCCTTCCGCGTGACCAAAAATCTGACGTTGCAAGCGAGAAAGTACTCCTGGAACGCCAACCACAACGTACTCTACATCGACAACCCAGTTGGTACGGGCTTTAGTTTTACGGATAACGACTTGGGCTATGCCAGAAACGAGACTTGCGTCGGTAGAGACGTTCACACGGCGTTGGTGCAATTTTTCAACCTATTCCCCGAACTCCAGCAGAATGAATTTTACGTAACCGGAGAATCGTACGCTGGGAAATACGTTCCTGCCATCAGCCACGCCATCAAAGACTACAACATAAAGGCCAAAGTTAAAATCAACTTGAAAGGTTTGGCCATTGGAAACGGGTTCACGGATCCTCTGAATCAGCTGATCTACAGTGATTACCTGTACCAAGTTGGCCTTCTTGATGCCAACGGCAGAGACGAGTTTAGGAAATATGAAAATAAAGGTCGGGAATTTATTAGGCAGGGAAAGTACATGGAAGCATTTACCGTGTTTGATAGAATGATAGACGGCGATATGTCTGGCGAGCCGTCGCTTTTCAAAAATCTCACTGGCTTTGATTTTTACTTCAATTACCTGCACACCAAAGACTCCAACAGTTCAAATTGGTTCGCCGAGTTTGTCCAGAAGCCGGAAATTCGCAAGGCTATACACGTCGGTAATTGTTCCTACGGGCTTGAGTCAAAGAAGGTGATGGAGTACCTCAGAGAGGACATCCCACGGTCGGCGGCGTTCTTCGTTTCCGACCTCCTTCAGCATTTCAAGATACTGATCTACAACGGCCAACTGGACATCATCGTGGCTTACCCGCTCACCGAAAATTACCTGCAAAATCTTGAGTGGCCAGGTGCTCAGGAGTACAAAAAGGCACCGAGAAAGCAGTGGTGGGTGGAAGATCAGTTGGCCGGGTATTCCAAGACCGTTGGTAATCTGACCGAGGTCTTGGTGAGAGCGGCCGGGCATATGGCCCCCTCGGACCAGCCCAAGTGGGTCTTTGACATGATAACGCGTCTAACTCACCACAAACCTTTTTAGAGTTGAAGCATTTTGCTCCGATTGTATTTTTGTTTTTTGTTTTTTTTTTCCTATAAATCTGCGACGATGATAAAGAACGTACGAGACGAAATACCACAATTTAATATGTACAAATCGAACAAAGCTCTTTTTTTTGGCCATTGATATACTAAACAAAAAACTTTTTTAATCTCCATTTTATAATATTCATATTATTGTATTGTATACTCTTACTACGTACTAAAAAATGTTAATAAATACTTGTATATTTTTTGAAAAATCTAATTTACTACTTTGTACTCCCAAAAAGTACTATATACTTGAGCAAAAGTATCCACAGTTAAAATGTTGAATCATGAAAAACACTGACGCAATAACCAGTCAATTGCATTGCATGCAGCTATTTCCCGTCTTATCATCGAGTCTTTTATATTATTAATCGACTCAGTTCACTACGAGAGTCACGCTATCAAAGAGCAAATTATCCGCTGAAAAAAAATTAAGTAAAAAAAATTATCCGCTGAAATTACAACACTTCTCTTCTTGCGAAACACGATTGCTGCCTACAAAGGTTGGAAATATTTTTCTTCGACAAAGACTTTTTTTTTCTGCTCGCTGTAAAAAAGCAAATGAGAAAGCACAAGCATCTTGTATTCCAATTTTTTTTTTTTTTTACCATTCGAAATTTCTTACAATTTGCCTCCAGACATATTTTATTTTTCGCTGCTGAAACATGAATATTTTATTACGCAGATAAATCCAAAAGAGGCCCCTGTAATAATTTGGTTGCAAGGAGGTTAGTAAAATCCAGATATTTTTTTATTGCACACCAAACTGATCGCTACTCACGCGGAACACGAGAACGTAGTTTTTTTTTTTTTTTTTTTTTTCAAATTTATTTTATTGCTTGCAATTACCGCTCGAGCAATCAATTTTTCTCAAAGCCGCATGATGTTGGAACAATACCTCATTTGTACGCGTCCACGTCGAATTCGAGATAGAGTTAGCTTTGTTCGACGAGAGCAACAGTGAACAGCTATAATTAACAGGTCCCGGGGACACGTCGCTGTTCGGGCTCTTCCTGGAGAACGGGCCGTTCGGCGTAGCCGCGAAGGGTCGACTGAAGCCGCGCAAGTACTCCTGGAGCGCGAACCACAACGTGATCTACATCGACAACCCGGTGGGCAGCGGCTGGAGTTTCACCGAGCACGCCGAGGGCAACGCCAGGAACGAGAGCGCCGTCGCCGGCAACCTGAAAGAGGCGGTCCGCCAGTTTTTCGCTCTTTTTCCGGAAATTCGAGGAAACGAGCTTTACGTCTGCGGCGAGTCGTACGCCGGGAAGTACGTGCCGGCGTTGTCGCGCGCCATCGCGGATGGAAACTCGCGCGGCGACCGGCCCAAGATCGGACTGGCGGGAGTCGCGATCGGCAACGGCTGGATCGACCCCGTCCATCAGCTCGACTACGGCGATTACCTGTACCAACTGGGTCTACTGGATCTCAACGGCAGAGTGGAGATACAAGCTCTAGAGAGGGAGGCCAAGGACCTGATGTGCAGAGACGAGTACGCCCTGGCTGGCCTGGCCTTGGCGCGGATGGCCACCAAGTTCAAGCAGCTGACCGGTCTTGAAGCGTACTTTGACTACCTGGAAGGGACGAAGGTGGTTGACGATGGCCCATCGTTTGCCTCGTGGATACAGGGGGAGGGCGCCCGTAGGGCCATTCACGTCGGCAATTCGACCTTTCACACGGACAAGGCCAAGGTCGCGGGGTACCTCGCGGCGGACGTGGCGCAATCGGCTGCGCCCGCGGTGGCGGACCTGTTGGAGCGGGGCTACAGAGTTTTGCTCTACAGTGGACAGCTGGACATCGTGTGCGCGTACCCGATGTTGGAAGGTTTCTTGAGGAATCTCAATTGGACGGGCGCCGCGGTGTACGAGAAGGCACCGAGGCGCCAGTGGTGGGTGGCTCAGAACCAGTTGGCCGGCTACTCGAAGAGCGCCGCTAACTTGACCGAGGTTTTGGTGAGGAACGCCGGACACGCTGCCCCGATAGACCAGGGCTTCTGGGTGTGGGAGATGATCACTCGCTTCACTCGGCACCAGTCCTTTTAGCTGACCACCGAAACTACAATGACATTGTGATTTCCGTACAGTAAGTATATCAAAGTTGTTGCCAATGGTGGTTTGGAGAGTCAAAAAAAAGATAAAACTAAGTCTTTGGAAGTGTTTTTTTGTTTCAAAGGTAAACAACGTATGTACAGAACAGCAAGACTTGCGATTTTTACTACTGACATAAATAATATCATGTTACTGTCAATAAAAATTCACTTCGTAAATATTACACAAAATAAGCGAGATTCGCGTTTACGATGATTTGTGCGCCTATACTTGTTCGTTACGCATATATGAGTCGTTTAATAAATACATCACTGTTTTATAAAATTGGCTATGATTATTTTACAGTTAATTACGAGTGTCGTACGGTATAAGGCTCTGACACACGATAATCGTAACGTATATGAATATGGCAGAATAGTCTTTAATGTAAATATCACATGATGCATCCGATGGATTTCACTCGCGAAACTGATGATAACAATTGGCAAAATATTTGTGCAACGGTTATATGCCAAATGATTATGATTAATCAAGATGCGGTAGGATGTAGTTGTCTATGACCGTCAAGTTGCTGTGCCAATCAAAGTGCGACATTCCCAGCACAGTGTGCGTCACCAGTTTTTTTCGCTCGTCGAGTGTTTTCAGACCAATCAAATCTCTCTTGTACTCGTCTCTGTCGCGCAGCTCGACCACACTGCCGTTACTGTTGAAGTAGCCGAATTGACTGCTCTGCCAGGGTGTAATGACCCCGTCGTCCGGACCACCGATGAGCACCATTTTTTCAAGCCTCGTCAGCCCCTTCTTGTACAACGTCGTGTTGGACGTCAACTTCTCATTGTTGATGAACGGCAAAAATCTGCTGTACTGGTAATACAAATCCTAAAGATAACCGACAATGTTTATCATTAGCTTTGCGCACGTACATCCGTACAAACATGTTGTATAATCGTGACTTGCGCTCACCCGGTGGTAGGGGTCGTTCCAGTAATTGCCAACGCTCGTGTGCTGCCCGACCCTCGAGTAAAACAGCTCGTAAGCCGTATCGCACACCAAGTCCGGAAATATCAGATGCAAAAAGCGAGCTGCGTACAAATGAAAAAAAAAGAAAAGAGTTACTCTTTTGATATAGATCCGTTGGGCGTAAAAAATAAGTGGGTCCCTTACTTCCGTACTGTCCGGCTTGAGGTGCGCTCAGGGAAACAAAGGTTTTCACGTTGTGTTGAGGAAACCGTTGCAGTATGGCCCTGGCCAGGAGTCCTCCCTGGCTGTATCCGACGAGGTGAATGCCCTCGGGGTAAGCCGCGCCGATCGCCAAAATGTCATTTCCTATTTCTTCCACCTGGTTCCACATGGGCTCGAGGCTGCTCCAGCCGGCGTACCTCTCGGTGTTGTAGACCTGAGTTCCTGGGTGCAACTGCGAACAATACAATTTTGTCGATAAACTACGTGTTTTGGAATTGGTAGGAAACAGGAAAATAATGCGTTTCGGTGAAAACACGTTTCGTTGGGAGATGATTCAGCTGAAAACGAAATTCTTGCGCTTTCGCGCGTTTGTATGTATTTTCAATTCAAAATAGCCGTGTACACGATTCAAGATCGTATCGATCGATTCTTACCCAAAATTGAAAATTTTTTAATCCATCGTCCAAGTTTTTTTTTTTTTTTATTAAAAATTTTCGTTTATTTAAAAAAATTCTATTACTTTCAGTTAGGATCTACTCGCAAGTTTTAAAACTTGCTTGAAAAATTCCGCTAGCCAAACATTGCATATATATCTGATGTACGTATATTAGATAAGATTATTGCAACGGTGAGTAAACGCGACAGAAACATATAAAATTATTCTAAATAGTAAAGTTGATTGTGCGGGAAAAGGAAAAACATAAAACAACTTCTATCCTTGACTTTTACTTCGTAAAAGTTGCCAAGTAAGTATGATCGGTTGATAAAAATTGAAGGAGCGCGTATATCCTGGTGTCCGAGTCAGTGGGATATAGTATTTACGATCATCGTAAAACAATTCAATGTCAATGGCAGTGACTCGAACAAAGAAAGTTGTCCTGTCAAGTTGAAACTGCGCTAGTTAGCGGCGAACAAAGAAAGCGTTTTGTAAATCATGGTACTTATACATATATTATATAGGCTACCGAGGATTCAAACGTTTACTTATTAGCAGGTACTCGAGTAACGCAAGTATGAAATATAAATATACCTCTTGGATACGCCTAGAGATGATCTCCATGCTGTCCTTGCCAGTGAGGACGCCGTGGATGATAGCGACGGCTCGATACGACTCGGCCCCATTTTTTGACAGCAACAGTATCGTCACCAGTAAGACGAACAACGAATAACCGAAACCGTTGCTTTTTTTCCTCATACCCATATTATTGCACGGGTAGATATAAACAACAACAGCAGCAGCCAAGTTTGGCGTCTCACTTCCATGCGCGCTACACTTGTACTCCACTCTGTTGATCTACCCCCGCAGTATATGTCTGCTCTCAGCTGATGTATTTAACGCACACAACTTGATACCATAATGTAAATAAATGATTGTAAAGCACCACTCTGCAGTCGAGCATCCGACGATTTCACGAGATACTACCAATAAATGTTCGGAGTGAAAGTGATGATCCGCTGTGGATACTCGGCGTTGCTCGGTACACAGCGTTATATCGACTGTTGGACACTTGACTCTAGCTGTTCAGCTAGAAATTCGTACGATCCGCTGCGAGTAATACTTGCACGCGTATATAATTAATTAATTTTTTTTTTATTTTACATTAAAAACAAAAAAAGAATCGGGTCCATTTTACGCCGTTTTCGGTTACAATTTTTTTATTTCTTTTGAGGATGTAATGTTGTTCCAAAGGCATTTGAAAACAATTAATCCGTTACAACTAATAAACGCGAAATACATCAGTAACAAAGTTGTGAAAAAAAAAAAAAAAACCCACCACGAAAGCTTCGTGAAAATCGAAAAAATCCAAGTCATCATCGCCATCAAGATGTCCGGGGACAAAAGCCAGCACCGCAGCCCTTACTTAATCCTTACACATATGAATCGTGTGGTTCTTCAAAGGAGAGAAGGACACACATAATAAATATGTACAAAACAAGTGAGAAAGGGTCCTATAGAGAGCACACGCGTATACACACGTACAAGTGTTGGTAGGTGCGTGGCATTTTCTCGTGGCGCGTCATACATCACACACCATCAGGGACGATTCGCAGCCTCTCCCTCCATTGTTTCGACCATTTCTCCAGTCGGTAGCACGATTACCCATTGCTCTCTCGCGGCAAGGATGACCCATGCTCACCCCCACCTCATCCAACTTTGCACCCCCGTACGAGCGTATATACGATATTAGCTCCGCTAATCGCTCCTAGAAATCCTGGCCCCCTTTGTTTCGGAAGGATATTTATAGGTGGATCGATCACGGGAGAAACTTGTAAATATAAATATACTGCATTTCCACGGAGAAATTGTGAATGTGTAACTCACTGGGCGATTATTTCCAACTCCGAAAGCGAAATGAAATTTCACGAGTCTCGGAATTTGTCGTTAAACCAACTGTTCCGTCAATACGCGTAGAGGAGCCATTTTCCGCTTTGATGAAGTGCGTGGCCGTTTGGGTATTTTTCTTTTTCTTGGCCGGTAACGTAACTATATATACATACAACCCCTGAAAGATGGTCAAAAGCGACGGGGCGAAGCGAGTGAAAAAAGGGCCATTCGAGCCGCCTTTTTTTGCGTTTAATCAAAGATAGTCGCGGTTGGCTGGACTATAGATATACACGCACAATATTGGCCGGCACCGCCGTATTTTACGCGCTGTCCGAGTGAGATATATACGACTTCCACTCCAAAACACACACGGGTACGTACCTATAATATTATATACTTCGGCTAGCCGGCCGGTCTTCTTTTTCCAACTCATCTCTGTAATGGCTCTTTGCGACGTTATATAACACATATATACCCGACCTTTTGGCTGTCCTACAACTTTTTTCGGCATGGCTATACATGTACATCGGTGCACTTTTTCCCTTTCCCGATTGGCCGGATCAATCAAGTCCCTGTTCAACTCGGTCCTCGAGGGTAAGTTTACACGCTTGCCACGAGTGATGGATATTAACACCCTGCGACGGAGATCAGCGTTAATTATACACGCGGAGGAGGGGGCCGTATACTCGGTGTGTTCGAGGTATTTGTCACTCGGCGCCCGCGAGACCTAAATATTAATAACGAGCCACGGCGAGCTGCCACCCCGTAATATAGGCCGATGAATAGCCGCGAACAGACCCGTTCATTACTTACTTACCTTCACTGCTTGATTTCGTCATCCCCGACGGGCCAGACACCTATACAATATTTATGTAGTAGGACCACCGCGAGGATTACTTATATCCAGCGGGTAATTAATCGACTCGCCCTGTCGGGCCCTCGTCTCGCAATGACGAGGACCTACCGTATCATATACATATACTCACATTGAGATTTTTATTTTATTTTATTTTATTTTTTGTTTTTTTAGTTGCACGACCCCTTGTTTTTACGACCAACAATTAGACACGTCGGTCGTATGTTTTACAAAACTGTATATTATGTGCGCGTATAGTTGATGCACGTGAATGCCATGTGAGACCGGAGGAATGCGATAGATAACGCAATACATCACTGGCTAGGGCCAATATATCATAACCGTGTGTATACATGTAAAAACAAAATATGACGATGCCGTACGTGTGCGATTCGAGGCCGTAAAAGCAGGGGCGCGCTTATAGGTGTGTATAAAACAGAGAAAGAAGGAAAGAGAGGCCGAGCGCGGAGACACGGTATATATAATGGGGTTCAGTTACCTAATCCCGCGTCAGCCGCAGTGTGTATGTATAGTTACGCCATAAAAGAAAAATAAATTTGGTATTCCGAGATATACGCGGCGTTACCCCCCCGCGTGCCACTTACAGGAAGAGAACCCGAAGTACAGCTCACCGCCGATAAGTAGTCGTCTTGCCAATGTTATGTAGATGTAAAGGAGGGGGGGGGGAGTATGGTCCAATATCCGGTTCCCTCTGCTCCTTCCACTCGCTCTCTATCGGGTATTCAAAGTCGCCGATAGTTTATTCATGGGCGCGCAGCGGGTCCCCGGGTTTGCTTATACGCCAAGATATTGGAAGTGGTGCGCGGCGTCCTCCGACCGACCAATATCGCGGTAAAGTGTCCCCCAGAGAGGGGCAGAGGGAAAGAGAGTAGTCTCGGGAGGGGGAGTCGCCGTGTCCTGGAAGAGGTACCCTTGACGGTGCTCCCGTCGACCCTCGTTCGGGTGGGAGAAAAAAAAAAAGCGGGAGACCTTTCCCCCGTGGGTGACAGAGCCAGTGAGCGGCTCGCCAATAAAATTCAAATACACTCCGCTCCGCATGCTAAATTATCACATCCTCCATTTGCCCCCTCCTCTCTCTCTCTCTATCCCATCTTCCTCCTATTTACACGTGTATATATGTATACTCGTGCGGAGCTCTACGTGCGCGCGTTTGCAGATGCGGAGGCGAGTGCGCCATTTTTTCCCGGCGACAAAGTTGCTTTCTTTCTTTTTCACGATCTTTTGAATGCGCGGGAGGAGCCGCGCTTATATATATATGCGTGTAAGCGACGGTACGACGCCGCAGGGGTGGATTTTCCAACTTTGGCAGCTGGACGTTTCGCTTTCTTTTTTTTTTCTTTCCAACTCGCCGACCCTTTCTCTCTTCGGCCGGAATTTGTCTTTCCATTCGAAATAAAACTCTTGATTTTCTTACATCACCGTAAAGTGTGGTAACTTAATTCATCTTTGTCGTGGTTGTATTTTAACAATTTCTCCATTGTAATTCGGAAAAAATGATATTTTATTGGGTACAGTGCAGTTGAATTGTTATATTAAACGGTTATTTTCATTCCATCGCATAATAAAGTATGAATAATTTCGTTGTTTTGTTGCTTGGAGTTTTTATAATTAATGTGTCACAAATTTACTGTCTTGAGAGTCATATACAGGTCGAGGAAAAACATTTAAAAACATTTTTTTAACAAATTTAGCCAAAAAAAATATAATCAAAAACTTTCCACTCAAAAATTCGAACAAAATAAAAATTCTGATTGTAGCGCTAAACATATTAAACACCCGATGGGGAAGGCCTGTCCCAATTTATTCATGTTCACAAATGTTTCCATATTATTGTTAAAATGCGTAAGGCGTGTCGCGAAATATTAAATAGCGCTAACATGGCGATTCTTAGACGCAAAATAGGAAGTATATATATATATTATATATATATATATAAAGTAAATATTATTAATTTGTCGGAGTCACCCCAAATCTATCCATCACATCGATGGTGCACGTATAACTTTACACGGCTCGAATCGAGCACACAGGCATACACAAATACAAATATGAGCACATATTTTTATTATCGCAGTATGTTGACGTGCCCACGCGCGCGTCTACCTATACGTACGCATAGACTACTTGAAATAATTAACCTTCCGGTATACGTGTATGTCACACCTATATATATATAAGGGAGAGTGAGCGCGAGGAGGACACGCGGGGGCGACCACATCATCATGGCAGTACGACGCCATCAGCTGCCGACGAGGGGGTAAGGTGGGGTTCTCAGATTTCGACATTACTCAAAGTGGATCAACCTGCCAAGCGCCGCGAATTACCATCGATGCGTGTGCTTGGGGTAGGGTGGTGGATTCAGGAAGCACGTATACACCGAGAGAGAGAGAGAGGAAGTTGGTCGTTTTTCCTTTTTCCTCCGCAGCCACCGAGTCGAACGAAACAAATGACGGCACCTATACGGAGGAATCATTGTTCCGTACAACTATCGCCGTTACCATTATTATGTTATTTTCCACCCCCTCGCCTATAGAGTCAGACAATACACACACACGTATCCATTCGCACCGGAACGAATTTCGATCTTTACCCAGTACTTATGCGCGAAAAGGCCAACGTATATATCGCTTTTACTGCAGTATATGTACACGCAGTTGGGCTCGACAGCGCTACTTGTACGTACAAAACGCAAGCACGTGCGCATAGTTGGGCTTGACAATGATATATAACATGTACACACGGGGTGGACCACATACCTTATATATATATATATTATGTAGTAGGACCA